CTTATAATTCTTTGCTGCTTTCTACTAGCAAAATACAGTTGCTTTTGCAAGGAAAGGTAAAAAGAAAGTCATCTAAGTAAGCAAATAAAAATTACTATTTTCAGCTTGGTCATCTGCAATTTTTCCATTAGACAGATATAAAATAGCACTTTCCAGAATTATCTTTTAAATTGTATGTGTGGTAGGTAAGGGTTTAATGTATTATAAATACTGAAAGAAAATTATTTGTAATGAGAAATTGTAATGAGAAATCAGAAACAAAATTGTTTACAGTTTTACAATTATACCTCTTAGCCTTTCAGAAATGAAAGATTAAGTAATAGAAAAATTCAAAGCTTGGACAGACCCAAGCCAACCATTTTTGTAATGCTACTTTCAGAGGACATTTGCAACTGTTATCTTTTCATTCCGATTGAAAAAAATTTAAGTTTCATTTACAATTTCAGAATTTTCCACGGTTCTGAAATTCTGGTTTCCAGACAGCTCTAAATTTTTGTGCACCATGGTTAATGAGAGCAGAGTATTTACTACTTACTCCTGCAGGGGTAATGTGGGGAAGGAGCACCCCATTCTTGCCACTGTTTTGTGAGGGGCAGGCAAGACCTCAAGTCAAGGAGAGGATGGGGGGGAGGAGTGTGATCTTAGCCAGCACGGGCAGGGCTAGAGGAAGAGAGCAAGAGATCTTAATTTGGATTGTGTAGGAAAGAAAAGTGTGGGTGCAGAAGAAATAATATAGGTTGAAAAATGTACAATCTAGTCTATTTAGCTGTTTCATCTCTTTCTGCATCCTAGAGGTAATCATTCATTATAGCCTCTTTCACTGTTTCCTTGCTTATTTTATTCTGATTTGTTTTAGATACCGCTGTTCGCAAACCTGACTATGGTTATGAATGCGAATTAATCCAGAGGTCAAATAGACAAATCCAAATATCCAAACCTTAGCATATCTTTAAAGTCCTAAACAGTGTGTCCCATCTCACTTGAGCTCTCCTAACTCTTTTCCACACAGCAGAGAGCTGACTGCCTTCATGTTGTGCTTGAACGGGTATGGGGACATGTAAATTCTCTGTGCAAGAGGAGTTAAACCCCACACTGCCCATTAGGGAAGAGAAATGAACCTGAGCTAGGGCTCAAGCTGCAGAACATTTGTTAGTCAAGTGGAAGGTCATTTTCTGTTATCTAGCTGTGGAGTGTAATTTTCAAAACCTCAAAGTGACTTAAAAGTACAAGGTATATCTGTTCCCCTGTGACTGCTCTTACTGGAGCATAAACATAATTCTAAGTCCCACTGGCTTTTGACCAGGCTTTTAGCTCCCTAGTATTGAAGTCACTTCTAGAAATGGGACATTATCTCCTAAATTACAAAAGCACTTTTGCAAATATGTCCCATGATGGCAGCGCTGCTGCTCTCCTGCTTGGTCTACAGAAGTAACACAACAAGATCGTAATGGATATTGTCTTTCCAACCACTTGCAGTGATAAGCAGTAACAGGCATTGGCTCAAAGTGTAAATAGGCAATACAGCTATGCAGAGAAATCCAACCTGTCCTATTTAACCTGTGTCCACTGCTATTGAGCTGTGGAGATGTCACATGGGATCGCATCTGCTTGTGTGATATTTCATCATGACTTTTATAATATTTTTTACTGTATTACACGAGCCTCCAAGAGCCTTCATCACTAGCCAGCATTCCCATGTGTTAGAAGCTGCACAACCACAGAGCAAAAGGATATCCTATAGAGCCCGTATGCCATTTTCTCTGCTGTGTGTTTACAGCAGTTTAGATTCACAGCTTCTAGCTCCAAGTCAATCTAGCAATGAGGGCAAACATTGCCCATTAGCAGTGTCTGCAATAAAACATCGTACACATGAAGCCCTAACCATGCTGGCAGTCATTTCAAGCTGTTTATCTCCCCTTCTTTCCTTCACAGTCTGTGAGGGTAAGCGCTCACCTCCTCACAGCATCCCATATCATGAGGAGAAATGACCAGCACCAGCAGCAGACACAGCCCAGATGAGACTGGTGCAGGATACAGACACGCATCCCATCCTGCCTGGCTCCCACAGGGAAGATGCTACAGCCCCCTCTCCCTCTTTCTCCAGCCCTCCTTGTTACCTCCCAGTCTCAATACCCCAGAGTTACTTTTTCATGCTGTCAGTGCCAGGTGCAGAGCTGGGAAGCATAAGCCATCTGCATCTGACAGCAGGCAGCCCCTGTGGGATAAGCCAGTAATGAATATCACCAGGATGTCGAGGGTCTAGAGGCAGGAATTCGCCTGACTGCCGCTGAAGGGAATGAAACAAGTCGCAGAAATACTCCGGCTTTGTCAGGAAGGAAAGGCTGTATAATTTGCAGCTGGAGATGAATGTGATTATTTGCCATGCAAATGGATTTTGCCAGCTCAAAGTGGCCTTCATCAGCAGAGATTGTTGTATTTGACATTATCTGGTTACTTCTGTTTAATGCCTCTGTGCCTTTTCTGAGCGCTTCCTTCCCTGAGCACACATCATCCAGATTAATTAGAGACAGGTATTTTTTCCTCTTCCCCATCAATCTGAAGATGTGTGAGCTGAATCCATAGCTGCCTTCGTCCCCAGCCCTTCTCCAAATACGTAACAAAAGGTAAAGTTGTTTGCACTGACAGGCTGAGTATTTTCCGCAGATGGGAAGCCCAGTGGTCACATTCATCTCGCCTAAATTTAGCTACTTAAAAATTAGCTGTTTAGTCCAACCTAGTCATCCTAGTTCCTTCAAATTCAATAGAGACGGAGGTCTGCAGAGGGACCTCCTCCCAACCTGGGATAAATGGGGTGAATCATCCCTGGCGGTCCCTGCTCATCTCCAGAGTTTTTTTGGTAAATATGTCTCACTTAGAAAGTTAAAGATTGGGCAGAAGAACAATGCCCATCTGCCTGACTTTCCCCCAGCATCCAGCACTCCCCCAGCAAACCTCTGATCTCCCTCTCTGGTGGGCAGTGATGGGGAGGCATAAAAAGAAAGTAATCTGGGATGAGGGACCACAGGTCTGCTCAGCCATGTTGCTGCAGTTAGCGGTGAAGGAAGAGGTTTGCATGAGACGCTGCAGGATGGGGCAACCAGGGTATAGCTTGTCGTTGGAAACCATGTCAGTGGGCTAGATCTGGATGACTAAGAAAAGAACTTGTGAACTCACTATAGTATCACCTTGGAGATGGGTCCTTTAGATTTACTGAAATACCTTGAAAGATGGATCCTTCAAAGTCATACACCGAGCTTGGGTTTATGGTGAGATGGGCTTTGCCCAGTTTCAGAAAAGTCTGTGGAAAAATAAACTAGGGGCTGCTCCAAAATGAGGCCCCTGTGCAGAGGAAAGCCTGTCCCACCTCTAGTTGTAGAAGTCCTGTCGGCCACAGCTGTAAAACACGCTGCTTGTCTTTTCTATCACTGTAATCCCTTGCTGTCATGTTTCCTGCACTTTCTCTCTGCCACGGGTGAAAGCTGCTGTGATCGTTTTCCAGGAGAGTGGGGCTGACAGCACATGTAGTGGCATGGGCCTTATTTCCACATAGTGAAACATGTGCTTTCTGCTCTGCCCCACGTGCTGCATGTGTCAGTCGCTGTGTCTGCTTTCTGCTGGGAAGTGAGCTCAAAGATTTTTGACTAAAGAGATTTCAGGATGGGCTGATATAAATGGGGAGATGACATGATGTCTGCAGGAGCAGCTCCCCTCACATCAGAAACGTTTAAAACCAGACTGGACAAACTGGAAGAGTATAACCTAGATAAGTCATGAAACTAGTGGGCTATGCAGGTTTAGTCTCTTTCCAGCTCTAATTTTGGTGATTATGCATGGTGTGTTTTTTCCCTCAGTGGAGCGACAGAGCGTGCAGATTTGTTTGTCAAGTTGTGTTAAACCTCAGTAAACCGTAGCAGCTGGAGCCAGGGCTTCACAGAGACATGGACAGGGCATGACACACGGTCATGAGCTGGTCCAGTGCCCTTAGCTGGACTGGGATATCTCTGTTCCCATCCAATAAACCATATTTCTGTGGAGTGACTCAGGTCAGCAGAGAGGTAACACTGAGACATGGTCCCTCATGGAGAAATAAAGTGTTTCTTGTGGGCAGGTCCTCCTTAGTCAGACTGCCTGGCTTTATCAAATATCATTGTAAGTTATATTCTGTCTGGGATAGTGCTCTGCATCTAGAGAAGGACCCTATAAATAATTTAGACAAAATGGATGAATACTGACATCATTCTAAAATTATCATCCGCTGTTAAAATTTTTTTGAGAATATTTTCTTAGAAATTTAATATAAATTAATGCCTGCTTGACCTATTTGCCTCTATAGCTATCCAGTAGTTACAGATAATTGGCTATTTGATTGCAGCAAGTGAAAAATATCTAGATTTTAAAGCATTATTATGAACATCTTGTCTAACCATCTGCTGAATACAAAACAGGGAATGTCAGCAGACAAATTATTCATTAAGGCTGTAGCTCCTCTCTGAGCTTCAATGTGTCTTACAAAAAACACAGAGTTTTGGTTTTTAAGCTTGAGGTGATGGAGAAGCTGACCTAGTGATCGTAGATGGTCCGTATATCTTGTCTGGCTCCATACTGGTGCTCCTTCCCATTGTGGGTACGTGGCACAACACAGACCTCACCAGAGTGCTGTTTGGATGGGCATTGCCCTGCCTAGATAAACCTTCCTCGTAGTTGTCTCCATGTCTTATTGTTAATATTATGATATACTCTGAAAGGAAATTAAAATCAAAGCAAATTCAATCAGTTTATTGCTCATTTTTTTTTCACCGTGAATTTTTTTATTCCCCCTCTAATTACACTGACACCTTGAGAAGTAGACTAAGAACTGAGAGAAATCTTTGTCTTCCCTGGAAGTGTCTGGAGAACATGATTTTTGGGTAAACCCCCAGGTAAATGATGGGCCTGTATGAGCAAGCTGCATGTTTTGAACCTTCACACTCCTCCTGTTTGACTCTCCTCTCTGTGTCCAGGTCTCTCTCTGGCCGCATAGTCGGTGGCGTCTGGTGGTTCTTCACCTTGATCATCATATCCTCCTACACAGCTAACCTGGCTGCCTTCCTCACTGTGGAAAGGATGGTTTCTCCCATCGAGAGTGCAGAGGACTTGGCCAAGCAGACAGAAATAGCCTATGGGACCCTGGAAGCTGGCTCCACTAAAGAATTTTTTAGGGTAAAAAGGAAACTTTCATGCAAACATTTTGATTAACCCTCTGTTTGACAAGTCCTCCAGACCCACCCTCTCTCATCCTCAGCTCAGGTCTGATTTTTTTCTCTTGCTTCCCCTTACCGTGTTAGGACCTGCTGAGCTTGTCCTTAGAACAGCAAAAATCCAGTTTTCCCAGTGCCTCCCAAAAGACTGGCTGTGTCTCCAGTACATGTGATATTCTGTGACTGTAAACACAAGTATGAAATATCCATGTGCTTCCCCATGTTACTGAGGAGCTACTCTGAGTGGCTCCAGAAGAAACCATCTCCTGATTTCCAGCTTGGTTTGCCCTTGGTTTGATCCTTAGAGTCACTTGTCGTACACAAATATGTGGCAGAAATCAGGGGCTGATCTGGGCCCTGATGCAAAAATGGCAGGAGGCTCATGAACATCACGTTACCCCTTTTGCGTGAGTATGTGTTCAGTCCAAGCTGGAAATCTCAGCTGGCACCCAAACCTCTGTTAACGCTCCTGTTGGGTTTCTGCTGTCCTGTGCAGAGATCCAAAATAGCAGTGTTCGAGAAGATGTGGACATACATGAAGTCAGCCGAACCCTCCGTTTTTGTGAGGACGACAGAAGAGGGGATGATCCGGGTGAGGAAGTCGAAAGGGAAGTATGCCTACCTCTTGGAGTCCACGATGAACGAGTACATAGAGCAGCGGAAGCCCTGTGACACCATGAAAGTGGGAGGTAACTTGGACTCCAAAGGCTATGGCATTGCAACGCCAAAGGGGTCTGCACTGAGGTAAGTAGCTTGGATTTGCTTTCTTTTGCCAAACCACCCAGCAAATCAATGTATGCACACAGTTCAATCTCCATTGCCATGTTAATCACTAAAGCTTGGGGCAAGGAGGTGGGGGAGGTGGGGTAAAAGGGGTATGAAGATTCAGCATGATGTGCAGGGAAATAAAATGCCCAGCTCCCACTGAGCAGCAATGGGAGCATCTAATTATTCAAGCCCTGCATTTGGAAACTGGATCCTGGCTGACCCACTTGCTATGAATGTGTCTGCTGTGTTAGGTGATGGCAGGGGGGCTGCTGTGGTGTAACCATTGGTTTCACAGAGCATTATCCGGAAGAGACGCTCATCCTGTGCCATGTGAACTGCACAGCTTTGCAGAGTATGGTATTACCCTGGCTTGGATCCATGCTTGCAGAGGGAGTTCTCATGCGGAAAGCGTTTTGGTGTTTCCTAAAATAAAATGCCAGTTTTGAAGGGGTGGAAAGCCAGTGTTGAAAAAGTCCTGAAAAAGGTGTGCATTCTCATTCACTGAGTCAATTCAGATCCTGGCAAGCGCCAAATTTATGACAAGTCCAAAGGGGCACAAATCCTTCATTTCTGAGCCCAGACCTGCAGCTGTCACATATCTTTGCCTACTGTCATGTGAAATAGCTTCAGAGACTTTCCTTTAAAAAGAAGAACCCTTAAAAGTACAGACCCAGATCTGAGTTAGTAGCAGAGCTGGGCACTGCACACAGCCATACTGCTGGGCATGAGCTGGCCCCTTGCAAAGTGCATCCCACAAACTGAGGGGCTCAGAGCAGCATTACCACAGTCTGCAAACCGGGATGGTGATCTGAGTCACAGCAGAGGTGCGGTTCCTTTTGGCAGCAGCCATGCAAGCTCCTCACGTTACAGTCATGAGGAATAGGAGTTTAAGGATTTAGTGGGACTAGTAAATGCTCAGAAGCCACAGCTGTAACTGTAAATCTGATTGATGCTCCAACTGATTTAGTTATTTACTGAACGTATTTTAATCAAAATATTTTGACCAAAATCATACGTGTGGCATTATACTTGCTTGCTAACATAACCCGGTGCAGAGACATTTAATCCATAGTCTCTGGATTACTAGAAACCAGCTGAACATTTGCTGATGGATTTGTCTGGTCAAAAAACTCCTGAGCCAAAGCCAGTCCAACGAATAGAAGATATATCAACCGGTAATAGATTAAGCCCAAGGATTTTGATTACTACATTTATTAAGTCAACTCAAACTAGATTCAGCACTTCCCATATCAACAGTAGCTCATGAACACAGTGCAGGTGGTCCAGAAGGCAATTCTTACATCCAGCGTGGTTCAGGCTCTGAAATGACTTGGGGGCCTCCAAATGGAAGTGGATATATTCTCACAGCTTTGAGATGTTTCCTGTTGCACTCACCAGTGTTTGTTTTCTGTCTTGGAAATATGGAAATTAGGATACAAGGCTGATTCTATTTAATTATTTATTTAAGCATCAATCTTGTATCCTAATTTTGATATTATAAAAACAAACAAACAGGAACATCCTACCTGTCTTGTAATTGTTGGCATGTGAAGAAGCCATTTATCATACTTCTAAGAAAAATAAACAACAACAAGAAAATTGCATCAATCATTTTAATTTTGCAGATCCAAACATCCCTCTGCTAGACATGATTCCAAAAATTCCTAACATTTCTTTCTGTTCCCTCTTTTTCATCCTGGCTGCATGTAGAACAAATTTCTTATGGCCCTAATGGCAAAGGAGGAATGCTTGATTTTCCATCTGATGGTGTTTCTTTGGAACAGTTGTTGTCAGTTTTTGTCCCATTATGTTTGTTTTGTTCCTGTTGTTTTAATTGTTTTGATCTTAGTAGTTGCCTACAGTCATCATGTAGTGTCTGTTTTCCCCTTGGGGTCCTGCACGTGAGAGGTTGCCCTGAGCAAGATGACATTCATGAAGCATCTGTTAGCACGGTCAGCCTGTCCCTTATTCAGGCTTCACCTTCACTCACTTCCACTCACAGAGTAAAAGCTCGGAGCCAGGTTTGGAGGTACATGTGAACCAGGCCTGTCTTAGATCAGATGTGTTTTAGAAGCCGGGCTGCATTTCGATTTTTGCTGCAACCTGTCCCTTTTGTAGCTAGACTGGTTTTCCTGCATTTAGGATAGCTGATTAGGAAAGGATCCTAGAAAAATGCTAAATGAGAGTTCACCATTGTTTTTTCTTGCTTCTACATGGGAACACAATGCCAGGATATTGCCACAGATGAATGAAGACAAGGCTGAAAATCCAGAAATAATTCTACGTGTTGTAGCAGGTGCAAACATCCCTCTCAGGCTGTCAGCGAGGTCTCTCAGGCTGCTAAAAGAGCTTGCTTCTTTCTCCTAGGTGATCTGGCTTTGAATATCTCTTGGCCTCCAGATGTTAAAATTCAGTTGCATTTAGGCATGGCTTAAAAGGGCAATGATGAGAGGGCAGAAATTACACCTTTCAACACCAGCTCGGTCAAGGTGTGATCCTGTCTGACATGAGATAGCCATGCAGCTGCAAAACCCATCCGTTTACCTGGCAGGCACAATTCTCCACTGTTGGACAAGTGATCAAAAAGAGGGCAAAAAGCCAAATTGCCCAAAACAGATGAAAGAAAACCCAAGAAATCCCATGTGAGTCTGGACTCAAGGAATAGGAAGATTTTTGAGATGGAGATCTGGGAGGGCAAGTTCTTCAGAGCAGCCATACTGACATTAATGTTCCCTAAAATACGAGTCAATTTTCCTATGGTCTGTGAATAAACACAAAATGTTCCCTGTTAAAAACTCACCTTCTTTCAGGACCCCAGACCTCTCAGGCTTTCATCAAAACACACTCAAGGTGAAGTACAGCTTGTTCTGTGTACTCCCCGTGAGCTGAAGAGAGAGACAATTAACTGAAATGAAGCTTCCTAGGAAAGATAACACATAACGCTTAGCACATGGCCCCAAAAATCATATGGCTGATATTGTTCTCAGGGAAATGGCAATGCATTTCTTTGTTAACACCTTATACTCACATAGAAGCTGCAATGTATTTTGGCTCATTAGTTAACTAATCTCTTGCAGATGGTTCAGACATCAGAGTGCTAATTAACCTGTATTCTGTTTTCAAAGACAGAAATAATTATGATTTACTTAGTGTCAAATTCTTTCTGGAGCTGCACTCACATTTTTCCATTGGCTTTAAATGCAGCCAAAGTTAGACTCTAACCACAATATTGTTACAGAAAAAAAAAGGGAAAATATTCAGCCATCTTCAAATCTACACCTTTACCTTCTCTTGGAGTGGTAGCAAGTTTGACTTCATCTGGATTTTGCTTTTTGAAGGCTGGATTCTGCCTGAAGGAGGCTCCCGGTCCTTGTGAAGGCTTCAGTGCACAATGGCAGAGCCATTGCGGGCACGTGCAGGTCAGCACATCCCTCTTGCTCACAGACAGGTATTTTTAGAATGGCAGTGTAAGAAAACCCCTTGATGAGGGTTTCTTACTGCAAACTGCTATGTGCACAAATTCTCTGAGATGGGAGCTGCAAGGTCCTTGGCCTTTTTCAGATTCGTTTTATTGATATTCAAGGTCTGTTGGTGGACGGTTGAGCCCTCCATCTCTTCCACACTTTTTAAAGCCCTCTCACATTTGTGGCCCACTGTGGTTAGGTTTTTTCCTCCTTTTCATGCAGCGTCTACACCAGCATTGCACCTGATACCCAACATCCAGAAATGAACTGTGCCTGTGTGCAGAGCCTATAAAACTCCCTGCTGCACACCCTCTAGTGAAGGAGCTCCCTCAGACGTTTACCACTGAAACCAGTGAGATGTGTGTGAACAAGTCTGAAGGCAGACTGAGGCACAGTTTGGATTTGCAGGCTATCCTAAATCCAGATCAGTGGTCTTTCTGACTGGTAGAGTCTGCTCAGCATCCAGACTCATGCAGTGCTTTCCATGACTGGGGAGGTACATCTATGAAACACTGCAGCCATCTGGAAGTC